GTTAGAATCACCAGAGCCAGGGACCAGACTTGTCATGAAGTTCCAGACCTGAGAGGCAGACCACAACTGGTGCAGATTGGAAACGCTACCTTGTTCACACTGAAACTCAGCTGTGGTGTTCCTCAGGGGTGTGTGCTGAGCCTCTGCTCTACACCCTGTTCACCCAGCCACAAACAGCTCAAACACCACTGTTTAATGTGCAGATGATGCCACAATCACTTGTTATATATCAGGCAATGATGAGTCCTTCTGCAGAAAACTATAAGCCCCGTCCTTTTTGGTGCCTGGACAAATATTTGCTGCTCAATGTCATGAAGAACAAGGAGCTCACTGTGGACAACAGAAGATTGCAAGGAGAGCACATTCTACCCCACATCGAAGGAATGTCGACCAAGAAATTAAGTCAGCAGCATTATTTTTAATTTTCTTTTTTAARTTGACTAAATTTAATCCTTTTCTGTCCCTCTTAACTTTATATTTTAATCAAGAAAACCCAGTTTTGTGTATTTGGACAGTAAAAGTATCTCAAATAAAATATTGGTTTTACAGATGTGATCTAGTGCATCTGAGTCATAAAATGTGATTTTTTTTTTTTTGTAAAAAAATGCTGCTAAATTGTTGAACTTTCCTACTGCAGCTGAGCCACTGCCCCCTTTTACCATATTTGGATGGACAAAACCAGATCCTGGATTGAAAACTTCCCTTCAGAACCCTGCGGTGAGCTCATACGACATGATCCTGGCAGTATTCAGACTGTGACCACATCTTTCCTTTCTGACAACTTATTCTGTTTTCATTTTTGAACATCACTCTCTTGGAAACTTCATTGAGTCATTTCAATAAACAATTTTCAAAAAACTCCAGTTTGGAAAATACCAAAACCATGCCGACATTGCCAGACCGTTACGCATGACTGCTGTGAGGAAGGAACTGGAAGAGCCAATTCTAAATCTGTGAGATGGAAGTAATTGGTCAAAAAGATTGGGAGTCATGCAAAACAGTAAACAAATGGCAACAAGCCTTTCCTAGATGGTAACTGTGTGTTATAGCAAACAAAAGGAAATGCTAAATTATCTCAGAATTTCTTGATATTCAAATGGAGTRCTGAACGCTCTAATGATTTAAACATAGTAACAAAAGTGCTTCAGTCATATATGTTGCATAGAAAGGATGTGTTCGGATGTGTTCAAAGAACACAGAAGCAAATGTTTACTAGTTGACCTTCTCAAAAACAAATGATGCAGCACAAGCCTCTGGAAATTCCTGCTAAAGTTTTGACTTTGTAATAAAGACTTTTATCTTTAAGAAATCAAAAAAGGATAAAATACCATAGCCTTCAGCTGCTACTTTTCAWCTACAAGATATACAAAGAACCAAGAAGTGATTTAAATAGATAAAACTGAGTAAAGTAACGCATAAACTAACATAATGTGTTTTCAACAGGAATGAATAAAACCATATCTGGGTTCTTTCGTTTGGTTTTCAGCACAGACTCACCCTCCTGCCTGTCAGACCTTTAGAGTTGGTCAAATCATTTTCTCTGATGCAATTTTTTGCGCTCATCATCCATGACAGCCGTATTTCTTGGCTGTCCCGCAKATTTTTTTTTTCCTCTGAGGATGACAATTTCAGCAACGATATTCAGAGAAACTGTGAACTCAGTTCCATCTATGTTTTCTTCTTTGGCAGATCTCACTTAACAATAGCCTTCATAAACTGCTGTAGGTCAAACACGGCTAACAGTACACCTGTAGGGCTGAGAGACTCTGAGAGAAGGGCCAAATGGGAATAAATGAGGTCACAAACAAAGTATTATCTAACAGTCTTAACCTGTGGATACATGTACCAAATTACAAAAAAATAAAATAAAATAAAAAAACAGGACAAAGCTACTCTAAAGTACATTTTTCCTACGTGTATGTTATTACAGTAATATAAATCCACCAATGCTTGAATAATTCCCTAAAAATAGTTTCACAATCACTAAGAAAATGTGGTTTCACTCCTCCACAGCTATGGGTCAGTGGTTCAGAGGATTGTTTCATCACTGTCTGTTTCTAAGAACAACTCATTTTGTTTCAAAAGAAATAAATTGCACAACTTTAATGGCTGTGTTTCTAGGACATAATTCAGATCAGAGGAAAACCAATATGAGGGCACGAAAAGTCCCAAATTCAGTAATATGGTAAAATAACAGTATACATTTACTTACCGTATACTACACTGACACTGAAAACCGCTGTCGTTTCCTGTTCCATGGTCTCATGACTCGGATGCACTTTCACTTAGTGAAAGCCAAGAAAAATAAACCTGGTCATTTAACTGCATTTCCACATCTGTGGCACGACTCAGTCATATCCTCAGTGTTTATCCATATATGGACGGTTCATAGAGTTCAGTGTGCAAAAGTGTTTCCCAAATATTGGCAGTCAAGGTTGTGCGCTGACAATTTTGTAAGTTATGTTAAGTATTAAGCAGAACTGAAACACCTCTTTCAACTGCTTTCTAGCAAAACTGAAAATGTTTGCATCATTTTACTGAGTAAAAAAAGGAACACAGGGTAAAAAAAATGGGTATTTTAGGAAACTGGTAACCAGGATCTAAATAGTCTTATTAGTCTTACTAAATTTATTATGAAACACCAGGGCGATACATCTCAAAGCATAAATATATCACAAAATCCTTACACCTTGTCCAAACCATCAAAATACATACATGTTTGCTATAAACTCAATATATAACATCTGTTAACTTTTAATAGAGTCAAAAATGAATATGTACTAGCCCACATCCAATCAAACTGTTTGTTTAATAAATAAGCATTTCGATTTGTTTAAAACTGGCCATGATTTTTGAAAATAAATTCAATAAAATGTGTGAAATGTAGGTTATTCTGTGTAAAACCTGTTCAGCCTGTCTTGACTTGTTTCCCAATAAGGAGTTTTCTCTCCTTTACGTCTAAATAATATATCTGAGTCKGACTGTAGTAATTCAGGCCGTTGAGTGAACTTTAAAATGTATTTTTTTTTTCTGAAAATATTTGTCAAGCAGCGCTAAAAGCTCAGGGTTCCACATTATTTTATGATCACATTTTAAATTTCTTTAAAAAAAACTCTCATACAGATCTGATATATTGTTACTTTTACAAAATAAGGATATTTTCTACACGAATCATGTCCAAAGAAATTATAGAATAAAAAAAATTCCTGAGGCACTGTAAGGTGAAACGCCGGGACAATTGCAATAAGGTCATAGTAAAACTGCTCATTAATTTGTCACTAAACTAGCAGCCRTTTGGATATAGCGACATGTCCAGTAAACCACACTAATAGAGAGGTCTGGTGCTGGCTGACCGCTGGTATCTGACATGTGTCTGCAGCTGTTAAGACGGTACTGTCACGCTGCGTCAGACAGAGCAAGAGCTTTCTAATCTCCTGTGGATTTTTTTTGACAGACAGTAAAGCTGACAAGTTTTATCCTCAGTTGATTCTTTAAGGCCTGGCAGAGGCTGAGGTCTGAGTGGTTTACAGTAACACCCCTGATGTTTGAGTTGGTGAGGGGTCACTGTACGTATCAGTGTCCTGCTCTTCCTCTCAGACAAAAAGGGTCTCTCAGACTGACCTTGTTGAACTGAATTCTGCTCATCTGTGTTCATTATGAGACAATCTGTCTGCTTTGGATCGGCGATAAGTTGAGGGACAATTCAAGCTGAAACTACTGCAAAAGGAAAAGTGGCTGAGTGGAAAAACAGAACGTTTCCTGCAGTATTTCGTTTCATTTTCCCTCTTTCAAAAATGAACGGAAGAATGTACCGTTTCAAGGCAACAGCCTATAATCACCTCTGTCTATATTAATGAAGCACCAATTGGTAAAATAAAGTTTCTCTAACAAACTGACAGACTTTGGACTGTACGAAAAATAAATAAGTATTACTAAAATATATCAAAAATGTTGTGTTAGCCAACGTGTCATACTTGCCATTTTGCAGTAACTTAAAACTACAGAACTACACAGTCCCATTTTGAGTAGTTTTTTTTTTTTTTTTTGGATTTTAGCTTCTCTCTCTCCTTTTTTTAAACTTCTGCTCGTTTCTTCAGCTGCAGTGCTCTGTGATTGGTTAAAAACACGTGTCAAGTCACTGAAGTACTGTCGAGATAGGGGATCGTTATTGGCTGGCGATCCGACCGCACTCCGACCGCCGCCAACCAACCTCCTTCGCGGGCCGAGGCATGAACGAGTAGGCAAGCAGAGGAGTGCATCAGGTGGGGCTGAAAGGAAAACTCGGGGCCACGCCAAGCAACACAGCACCAGCATGGGGACAGTGGAGCCAATGAATGCTTTTCATTCCCATTAACAAGTCTTTATTCTCAAAAAAAGTGCAGGAATGCGGCGGGTTTTTGTGTAAATTTATAGAAGTTGGAGCTAAATGATGGAAGGTATAAAATGAAATTAAAATCTGAAAAAAAAGTTGCACTTGTTTTATGGTTATCCTTGCAATATACTTGCTAAAATCAGAAAAGATCTGTGTTTCTAGTTTTATCCATAGATGAGCTTTTGTCACCCTAATCAGCCTTCCAGGGTTTTACATGTTCAACTCTAAGCTCACTTTAGGGCAGAGCGTCAAAGCTCAGCTGGCATCACATGCACACATCACAGCAACACAAAGACACAAAAACAACGGAGCCGTGAGTCATTTAATGTTGCTTTACACCGATAACCTAAACAGCAGCAGCACTGCCCAGACTAAACAACAATACCAACAGCACACGCAGTCATTTGCATAATGTAGCTGTGGTGGAGGTGACCGTCAGCTGTCCTTTTGTTACAGAACATCACAAATGGACAAACAGTGAGGAAAACATGAGACTTTTTTCTTTTCTTTTTTTTCTTTTCCAGCAGCATTTCTGCTGATATTGTTCTTTCTAAAATGCACCGCAGAAGGTTTGATTTCCACCTGCAGGCCAAACTAGAACACAAAGCATTGTGTGGATTCAGCTTACCGGTGGGACTCGGCTGGTGCTCTCCATCCACCACGGAGGCTCCTGCAGCCACCTAAAGAGGAGGAGAAAAAGAACAAATAGTTCATTTGTAGAAGTAGCTGCAAGTCCAAACCCTCAACCGTGGGCTAAAAAAAAATCGATGCYGTCAACTACTGACTGTCCTCTTTTGTCCCGGTGCTCCACAAACATCATGGAGTCTAACATTCAGATGAGAGGAAAAGAGTGGCTGTTTTGCAGATTGAGGTCAGGATTTGGTACGGAGTGTTATGTAACCTGATATATGGGCCAGAATAATAGTATTACATATGAGATTGCAGTTCAAATGGGAGTCAGAGGCAGGCTGGTGCAGGCTGCAGCAGCGTCTGGGTTTCAGGCAAGTGGCTCAGCACAGACGTGCCCCAGAGAGTCCCTGTACCCTTTCCTCCCCTCTCCTTCACCATCATTTAACACTTTCTTCTTCTCTCACCTGAGTCTGAGATACCCTTTTTTATTTTTCTGTATCTTTTTTTTTTTTGTTTTAAACCACACCCTCTATTAAATGCTAGCATTTTACCGCTCCGATTAATGGACAGACGGACAGAGAGAGGATTTCATTCAGGTTTTGTCAATCTGTCATTACTACGTCTGCTTTTTGTTTCCCTCTGATCCTTGAGGAGAAGGGTGGGATATCCGCATTGGTTGCTATGGCACCAGACAGCTCCTCGTTCTCTCAGTGAACGGCTATCTGTGACTGTGTGGAAGCGTCTGTGCACGTGCTGTGTTGTGTGCACGGCCAATAGACAGGATGCACTTTTGATCCGTTTTCAACAACGCTCGAGCTCATTTCGGGTTTTAAATAAGTCTGCCGCGGGATGACTCAGTTCATTTTTAAGAGATATTGGAGGTTTTTACAGCAAATGTCAGGAGCGCTTAACTTTATTCCTCAGTACTTTGTCACTCGGGGGGGCTCCATTGGATCATGAATGATAATGGGGGAAATAAGCAGAGATCAAGTCAACTCTATGAAGAAAGACCGCCACTGTCATGTTCAAAGCGGAAACCTTTCACTTTTAAAATTTTATATAAATTTCAAAGAATTGTTAGTTTCTTTTAATTTTCTCGCTCCTTGCCTGTGTAAAAAAATTATAATAATTGCAGTTGCAAAATCGAGGCCTGACCCTGAAAGCTGTAACTAACAATAAACGAGCTGTAACAAAAAAAAAAAGGGAAATAAATGCACCCAAATGTACCAAACAGCCAGGTTTTACCCAGGACGGAAGCTGGGTGTTTGTACAGTTGTCTTAAATCCTTTTCTCACAAGGATGCAGACAATGGTACGCACCACAGTACTCTGAACGTACAACAGTGGGAGCAGCTTTTGGGACTTAAAACGCTGAAGTTTCATTAAAATCATGTTGCTTTTGCTTCGTGGTTAATCCACACTGAGCAACCTCGTCTTCTGACATCGGCCTTGTATTCTTGTGTCTAAATTGAAAACAGACCCTTTTCAGAATTTCACAAATACATAAAGAAATCAAGGGCAAAAGCAATACAATTAAGGTAAAAGATAAATCTATATTCTAACTATAGTAAATAAATAAGATAAATTATCTAAATAATATAAAAAAAGGAAGATACGGATATTTCCACATTAATTCTATTTTTCAAATGTTATTTTTTGCACATCTGCTATTTTCAGACCATTTCCATAAATTTGAAGAATTGCTGTTTTATATTTTTTTGCTTTTAATTTTACAATGTTTGGGGGCGATCCTATCACTCTATACAGTACATTAAAATCCAGTCTTCACCCTTGATGACCTGCTCCACCGTCCTGTTTCTGTGTGCCAGCAGATGGCAGTGTCTCCATGACACTTAGATCTTCCCAGCTAGACACTCCAGTGTTTCTTTAAGAAGCTGAATCCATCAGAACACATATTCTAAACATTTTAAACCAAAAAGTGTTAAAAAAGTGAAGGTCTTTTTTTTTACTGCACATAGTCAAGGTAATAACAAAACTTTAACCAATTCATCTGTTAAAAAGAAGAAAAGTACAAGTCATCCATTAACAATGAACAGAAAGTCAGTTTTTAATCAAAGAAAAATGCTGGAAGTCAAAATATTGAACTACGTAGAACAAATAAAGTTGAGCAAAGTCGAGCGAACTGATTTGTTGAAGCCCTTCCAAACTAAAGTAGCTTGAAACTGCAGAAACAACAAGAACTCGCTGCTCTGACAGCTGTGTAAAGGTGGTAAAAAAGGCAGCACTTGTCAGTCAGTATACGTGCATGTGTGCGTCCGCTCATATGTGTGTGTGTGTGTGTGTAGAGGGAAAGAGGTGTGTTTTTTTCCACTCTTGAGGGGCCTCAGGCTGGGGTAGGGTGAGGCGGAGCTCTGGGGAGGCGCAGCGTGGGGCGGGCTGAACTCAGTGCACTGTAACCGCGCTCGGGGCGGGAGGTCACTGAGTCCAGCATTCCTCTGGTGCGCTGTCTGTTTACATGACTGCTGCTGAGCCTGGGGGAGGTGGCAGCTCCACACAACCACACCATCAGATAAAAAATATATATTTATATGCGTCGTTTGCATTTATCCTCCTCTTCTTAGAAGATTCATCAGCTTTTCTTTATTTGATAAAGYGTTCAGTTCACTGCCTCCCCCTGACTGTAAGTAAAATCGGAGCACTCTCAGAGGCTCAATGGTTCACAGAAACTTTTTGTTTATCTTGTAACAGGGTGATACTTCCTCTCTGATTCATCTTTGCAGGTAAAGAGTGTGATTTGTGACTGAACTCAGTTTGACCCAAGCCCAATGTACAGTACAATACCTTTGATGTGGAAGGATTGTGCTCGCYTTAACCATCTCTGTATGTCTTCTTACAGACACCATCTTTTTGGTCTATATATATATATATATATAGGGGTGCAACGATACAGAAAATTCACGATTCAGTTCGGTTCGATATTTTTTCGATACAAGAAAGAAAAATGTCCATGCCCTTTTTAACTTGTAATTTATTTAAATTAAGTAGGAACATTTGTTTAACCTTAAAAGTACGGTTTTTAAATTAAATGTTGCTGAAACAGCAAGTTTCTCAGTGGATCTGCGCTCGAAAATGCAGACTAGGTGGAGTAGTCGAACACAGATCCACTGATCCTTCAACACAGAGCATCTTCAGAWGACAAGCTGATAAAATAAATGTTAAAAATCTGTATTGTTCCATACAAGTGTGTACTGAACGGTCGGATACGGGTACTTGTATTGTTGCACCCCTGATATATAATAACCAACAGCAGCTAAAGTTAACGCCTAAAGAATCCCTGAAGAGGACAAAAAAACGAGTTTATTTGATGAAGGCCAGTCCAGTTCCAGTGAAGCCACGGAGCTTATCAGAGTATTTGTGTTGGACTCGGCTGGACTGAGGATCTGTCGGCTAATCTGGGCTGAACGTTGACTGTGGCTCCTCTGTGCCGATGCTTTCACATCCCTAGAAGCCAGCTGGTCAGCTCCGGGGGAGCACAACAGAGATGGGGTGTGACATCCAAGCCCTTGAGAGACAGTGCTCTGACTGTACTGTGGACTGGAAAGGGTGGGGTGGGGGGTGTGTGGGGGGGAGACATGGCTGTCAAAGGCTCCATTGTCTGACAGGCCAACAGGGTTTCATGTGTAGCGCATGATTCTCAGAGCGGGTCTGGACTGAAAAAGCTCGATCCGACCGACCTGAAGTGTCCAGGAGGATGTAGCCGAGGCCTCCTCGAGCAGGTTAAAGTGTAACTGTGTCCGTGTTTTCTCAGGGAAAGTGTGTTTATGTAGAGCACCAGCACGGAGGCCCTTTTGTTTAACTAAGTAGCAAGGCTCGCCCTTAAAGTAACAGAAGAACTCACAGGAACTGGTTGTCCTTTCTGCGTTCCGCTCACCGCTCTTTCAGAACAATACGCACGAGAGCGTGTTTGTTTACATGCGTGACCAAAAGAAAAACCGACAAATAAAATGACAAAATGTTGATGGAAGCAAACAATTACATGTCAAAGAAATGTGGAAAATATGGGATTTTTCTTCTTCTTTTTGGTTTCATGCAACCAACTCACAAAGAAAGCTCACACAATTCAGAGGTGTCTCTCTCCTATGGAGAAGGAAACAGCTGCAGCCAATTAAATTCAAACTGTGCCTCCGTCTCAAAAGGAAAATACTGGTACTTTTCAACCTGTGTCCCTTTTTATTTCTTTTTGACTACCGCTCATTACAGTTTATTGCAGCTACAACTCAACGTTTAAGAGACTGTGGATTATTTAGGTGTGAAGTAAATAATAGATTATCGTCCTCTTGAATGTTAAAGGAAATCAATACCACGTGACTGTTTAAAAACATATTTCAACACTTGAAGTTTGTGATGTTTACCACAGTTTTAATCTTGCTTGCAAATCTGCTGTAAAGACTAAAAATACAGGCTGATAAAGCTGCAGAAAAAATTAATAGTTTTTTTTTCTTCTCAAAGCTCTAAAGAAAACACAAAAAACCCAATAATCAAAGTTTAAAAATTCCCAATAAATAATCCAATATGTCTTGGACAAATTCACTATAAATGTCAACATGTCAGGGGAGGTATATGAATCACCGCATCATTGTCATAGAGTCCAAAAACATCTGTGCAGATGTTCCACAGAGCAGAGCACAACCGACAGATGGAGCTGAGTTACAACAAGCCTGATATTCATTTCTCACATTAATTTGAAACATCTGGGGCTTTTATTTCACCAAACTAAGTCATTCCCTTTTTATTTGGGAAGGTCGGAGGTTTGATTCCAAGTATCCACGTGTCAAAATGTCACAGTCTTTGAGCAGGACACTGACCCCCCCCCCCCNCCCCACCACACACACACACACACACACAGACACACAGACATGCCCTCCACATTGACCCTGATACAGTTATCAGTGTGTGACTGAGAGGAAAGAGCTGCTTATAAAGAGCGTAAAAATAATAGAACGCACTGTAGGGACTAAAAAATGAGAAACATGTTGTGAAAGCACTTTAGGTTAAAGTGGTGCTTATGGAGAACTCGCATAAAAAGGTTC